AAACGCTACTGCCCCCCAGCCCCCTACTGCCCCCAGTACACCAAGAACATCTGCAAGCTGCCGTCGACATACCCCAAGTACTAGCAGCAGGGTCCGGCCCCGGCACCTGGACCCACCGGCTCGCTCCTCACCCAAAGCCTCGAGCTCGTCTCCTTGCTCTTCGCTTCCCAGCCCGGCCGCTTCTCTGCAAGCACACACTTCTAAACCGGTTGGAGGGTAGTGTGGCATTCGCATGAAGCCTCTCGGTTTAATGAGCCTTTGAGCTGTTTATCTTCCTTCTGCCAATGCAAAGCACACTGTCCGCTGGGAATAGTTTCTTTCTTGCTTTGCTGCTTCATTCTCCAGCAAGACAATAAAAATTATGTTTCAAGCCTACCTAACAGTTCTGGATGTTTTTGGTCACCGCTCCATCATATCTGCTTGTCTGGCGGCATCCGGTTTTTCTCATGGTCTTAGAGCCGTGCTTTAATCCCTGGTGAAAATAGCTAAAGTAGGAGGAACGCCAAGGAAACATGAAAGTCAAGGAAAATGCCCAGGGCACCCACCAGTGACGCCAGGAACGCTGCACCGCACGCAGAAGGCTAGGAGAAACACGTTGGGTTAATTCCTGGGGAAACGAATACTCGCACTGAGCTCAGCAGATGCCACGGGGGTTTCAGAGTTACAGCCGGGGGCCTGGCCTGCACGGTCATGTTTTTACTGCAGACATGATCTTTAAAAGCCGCTGCTATATTTAGAAACAAAACAAAGCAAATCCTGCAGGGTTTGGAACCTGCCTTGGAACACCCTCCATGAAACAATTTCTACCGTGTAAAATGAGAGAAGGGTTCCCCAGCGTGACTCATCCATCCCAGGGCAGGCATGGGAAATAGGCTGGATGAGCCGGGCACTGCTAGTACCTAGTAAATGACCAGTTGGTATCTAAGGAATTGGAATTAGTTATTTATAGGTTACGGAGAAAATTGTCATTACAGAGGACCAGGCTGCTAAAAAGGAAAAGTTGCCAAGACGATGCAGAGAGCAGTTAATTACTGACCTACATTCAAGTTGTTGCCGTTGCAAAGAGACGGCTCATTTTCACACGACCCTTGGTAGCTGCATTACAAACTCTTTTCCTTAGGCGTTCTTCACCTCTCTGCAGTTGGGTATTGAGTCAGGAAGGCTCTCTGTCCATAGCAGTGGTTTTGTCCTCACGTACATACGTTCACTTTCCCTTGCTGCCCCAGGCCTCCAACTTTCTGTCCTGTGACTAATCACAGCACGTTTCATTTCCTCTTCCTTTTCCTAGTCCCACAAAAGGCACAAAGCCTCTGGACTGGTTACGCTTCCTGCTGTGCTCAAGCTTGAAATTCCTGTTAACCTGAGGATGAGAAATGGCAGCAATAATGGGGAAACGAGAACAAAGCGTGTTGCATTGCATTGCGTTGCATTTTGTTTTGTTGCATTTCATTTCATTTCTATTCTACTCTCTTCTATTCTCTGCTTTTGTCAGCCCTGGAGAGGTTTGACACCTGGAACATCAAGGACCAAAGCCTTTATGAATGCTTTACCTCGTGAGGATAAGTTTTTTAAATCAGAGACCAGAGACATTTGGCAAGAGAAGAAGTCCTCTATACCTAACGCTCCAGAGAGCTTAGAGGAACATTTCTGCTCTGCTGAGTATGTGCTAAACAACGTAACGGCGGATTTCCACAACCAGGATAAACCGTGAGCAAACCCCTAAGGATTAATGCGGAGGAATTTGCCTTTGCTGTTTCACGGCGAGGATTGCTTCACTGCATCCGTAACTCTCAAATCCAGCCAGAGAGAGTGGTGTTACTCTGGGCATCTTACGGAGCCTGCTAAGTTCATTCACTCAATGTGAAATTTTTTTTTTAATCTAATTTGAATCTTTTCTTTTGTAAAACTCCTCTTGTAAAATCGGTTACGGGTCTCCCAGCTGCCTAGGGATCTGTCTCACATGGCTTTAGACAGCTCTGACGTTCTCATCCAGCTCTAACAGCAGCAGTGGTGGTTTTGACTCCGAGGGACACGAGGTGAAGCAATGCACCGGATCCGTACAAAGTCACGCAGAAGACTGCCTCATTTTGACCAACGTCTCCTGCTTTACCTCGCTGCTCAGGATCCCCCACTTTTCTGACGGCGGAGTCTCCTCTCATTTCTCCGAAGGCTCAGAAATCCCCTCCTGGCCATCTCCCAGGTTGCCATGAGCCTCCTTTATTGTTAGCTGAGATGCAGGTACTCGGCTGCTGTAAATCTCCAGCACTAATTAGATTAGCATTTCTAACGTGTGGCAGTAGCCTAACCGGGTCATTAGCATGAAGCCAACCTCAATAGGAAAGGAAGCCTATGTTTTAGGGGACAGGAACATTGACCTTGGAAAGAGCTTGCCTGGAGAAGTGGTGACTTCATGGTCCTTTGAATTCTTGGAAGCAAGACTGGGTAGCTTTCTACAAGCTGGGATGTAGCCAAACAAAAACAGTGGCCGCCCAGCCGGAACTGGGTGCAAACGGATGCTTTATGCCACCAGCAGTCAAACCGAAGGTTCACGATGACCTGTCCCGTCCTCAGCATCTGTGATCTGGATCGCCCTGTGTTTCTATATGAGCAGAAAGAGTCTGAATCTTGTCTCCTTCGCCGCAGGAGAAATCAGGATATCTCCAGTGAAGCTGTATGCTGTGGGGGAGGGTGGTCAAGGGTCCTTCAGTGCTCTGTTCCCACAGATGCACAGCCCCGCAGCAGCAGGAGCAGCCCTCCTCCTCACGGTGATCTCAGAAATGAAACTTTTAATCACGCCAGTCACAGTCCCGGCCCCCATGAATTCCCTCGGACCGGAGAGAGATAATTTTTCAAAAAGATGTAGTTTAATTTGAAATCCTAAAGATGCTCAGCGCATCATGTGAGGCCTTCAGGCTTTCATGCAAAATAAATATTAACATCATTAATAAATAACTGCAACATCATCATTGACATCAGCACTAATGACTGCCAATGGGCGACTGAGAACTGAGCATAGACTTATTTCAAAAATAACATCCGTAGGTGGATCTTTCGTTACTCGAGGGCATACTACAACTTAAACCAATGGAATAGGAATTTTGCAGATCAAGTTATGCTAAGCAGAAACAGGATGCCAAACTTCCAGAAAAGTTTTGTGTTTTGCTTTTATTTAAAGATGTTCAAAAAGGAATTGGAAAAATATAGACTCCGACCTGACCCAAACACTACTCCAAATTTCCATGATGAATTTGCACAGTCCTTTGCACCTAAAATTTCTGATTTTGGCAAGGCCAAGGACATGTTTTTTACCGTGCATGGATGGGATGAGGCAACAAAGGATGAGGTGTCAAGAACTTTCTGTTCCATATTTGCGCTTCTGATGACCCGAGCCCCCAAAGACAGACATTGGGCATCACCATTTCTGCATTCAAAAACAAAACATGGGACCATGGAATTACACTTGCTGGAATTCTGGTTTAAAAAATCGTATCAGGGAGTGACTGACATCCAGAAGGCCTCTGCATGCCTCTGGAATCCACTGCTCCTCAATCTTAATTATGATTTTTATGTCAATTGAGCACTCGCTAGCTCTGAACAAGCCACCTAGCATCTCAATGTAACAGCGTTACCATATGCAAAATGAGCAGAAACATACCTTTTGGGCAGTTCACAAGCAGCACACAAGAATTAACTTGACATTAAAAAATTGTAAAAAATTTACAGAACAAATTGATAATAACACAAAATTGAGGGGTTGGTTAAAAACAATGAGGCAAAGACTAAATAGATGAAGGCACATTCAACAAATAAGTATAGGCTTAGTGCGTAAATCATGAATTGCTGTGGGGTACCTCATTTCCGTCAGGACAATTTCGAGCTAAATAAAAGGTCTCCCCATCCCTTTGCTCCTCACTCAACTGCACCACTCAGTTAGCACGGTAAGTGTTACCTATTCGTAGTGTTCCTTGATAGTAATGGTTCTCATTTGGTTTTGGTCAAGCAATGAATTGAAACGTGTCTTTGTATCTGATCTTTGTAGGGGGTTGGACTAGATGACCTTTAAAGGTCCCTTCCAACCCAAACTATTCTATGATCTACAGCTCTCTGAAATCCAGATTTTTCTAGCCTGTTGGTCTATTGCTTATTGAAAAGACAGTTGGTGTAGAGAGCATAGTTGAAAACAAGCTTCTTGGGATGGAAATTCAGGGACTGATCTTCATGGATGAGCACAGGGAAGTTAGTTACCAGGATAGCTCAAAAGATGCACAAATATCGCTGGGATAGTGACAGGTGGCTTGATTTCTGTAAGGATCTTTTTTTGCAACTCAAGACAAATTAATAGGAAGCAGTGTGCAATATGGCTATCACCCATGGGCCTAGACAACAGCATCTGCATGCCAAAATAAAACACATCTATATAATTGGAAAGATGGGTTGTATCTGAAAGTACGCTGTGTTTCAGGTTCTCCCTCCTTCCACCTTTGACTACACTACAAACAACATGTGCTCTACCAGATGTTGCTCTACTGGATGCTGCTCCGTCGTGAAGAGCAAAACGGTGTGCTGCAGCCAGCCGTGCCAGAAGACCGTCTGCTGCGACCCATGCCAGCAGTCCTGCTGCTGCGACCCATGCCAGAAGCCCTGCTGTGACCCCTGCCAGCAGTCCTGCTGTGACCCATGCAAGCCCTGCTGTGACCCCTGCCAGCAGTCTGTCTGCTGCACCAAGGTGTGCCAGAAATCCTGCTGCTGCTGTAGCCAGCGACCCTGCTGCTGCTGTGGTTGCTGCCCCTGCTGCTGCCCTGGATGTCTGTCTTGCTGCTCCTACGTGGTGAAGAAGAAGCCCGCTGTGGTGTGTTGCAGCCCTGTGCGATACTGCTCTCCCATGAGGAAGTGTTGCATACCCATCCAGCAGTGCTGCACCACAGTCAAGAAGTGTTGCTGAGCCAACTCCGGGTAGCAAAAGCAGGTCTGCCAGCTCCCATCTCTGGCGTGCAACAAGAACAGGCACAAGGAGATGAAAACCTGCTCATTCACTTTGGGTTCAAACGATGATGGAGTAAACGCCTAGCGATTTTCTTCTTGTT